CCTGTAACCGTTTAAAGAAGCGAGTCACCGGGGCTTTAAGCACTACATAATGTCTGATATTGGCCAAAACGAGAACAATTCCCCATCTTGCCTAAGGAGCCAGGGAAGTGAAATCCACCACCTGATGGTGTTGAGCAACCCTCCACAGCATGAGCAGCTGATGAGGTCACAAGTAAACAAGAAGACCTCTTCCCCCCAAGGGGAAAGGTCGGTTAGTTCAACAGACTTGATGTTTGAATTAGGGAGATCCTTACTCAGTAACAAAGTTCCTCTTTCCTCCTCCCTTCCAAGATGCTTGCAAATATTTCTTTCTTTTCTACTTTATCCCATTTTTGTTGCCTCTTTCTCTCTTTAGTATTGACTCATTTATCTTAGGTTCATTATTTTACAATTTTGCTTCTCTTGCTCTTTCTGCTAGTCTTTCTGTAATTTCTCTTTGCTAGACAACCAGCTAAAAGTCTGTCTAAAAGATACATTTAGGTTAGGCAGTGGTGGTGCACACCTTTGATCGCAGCACTAGGGAGGCAGAGGCAGGTGGATCTCTGTGAATTCAAGGCCAGCCTGGTCTACCGAGTGAGTTCCAGGACAGCCAGGACTACACAGAGAAATCCTGTCTTGAAAAGCAATAACAATAAAAGGATACATTTATTTAGATCAGGAATTTTTGGTTCAGTTATGGGAGGGACAAATTTACAAAAAAATGGAACTAAGTAAAAATTAATTCTGATGAGTGAAAGCAATAAAAACAAGGAAAAAAATGATGGACTTTTAAAAATTAAATTTCTTACTTTGAATTCCATGTAGGCTAAATGTAATCTTGAAGTAGAAAATGGACAGGGGTTGGGGTGGGTCAGATCTTGGTTTTGGTCTCTAGCATTGCTGGAGTCATTTCTCTTGAGTCAAATGATATATAATATATAATATATAATATATTATATATTATATATTATATATATATATAATTTTTTGAGACAGAGTCTCATTATGTCGCCCAGGCCAGCACTGAACTCCTGGATTCAAGTGATTTTCTTGTATCAGCTTCCTGAGCAGCTGGAATTACAGGTTTGTACCACTACATCCCACCTGTCTCCGCACAGTCACTGAACTCCACAAAGTTCTCTTCAAGAGCAAGACTTTTAGAGATATTTAACAAAATACTATCACTCTTAATGATATTATATGTTAACCTGCCAGGGTAAATTAATAAGTAAATCATTTCCACAGTCAACACTGAGAAAGACTACAACCAACCACGAAATAAAGGAAGTAGTAGACAGAAGGAAAAAATCTCCTAACTCCTTCTAAGTTCTTCTTAGTCCTAGCCTCAGAAAAAAATTTAAATGTAAACCCACATACTTTTTCTTGGGTCAACCATTTTTCCAGTACGAGAAGCCAGAGCCAGGCTAATCTTTGAGGGTTGATATCTGGCCCGCATCTGAAAAAGAAAAGAAAGATTTAGTAAAGGAGGAGTTTCAACTAACCCTTTCTCTTTTGTAATTTGAGATTTATATTTCAGTTTTCAGTTCAGTCCATTTTAAAGCTGAACAGGCAAGTCCTTATGAGAAATTCTCAATTGCAAATAACAGTTCAACAAAACAACCACATAACTTCCAGCTTCCACTTGTGCCTGTACCACCTTATCTAACTGTATTTTATCTTCCCAGCTGGAGTGTTGTTAGGCTGGAACTCCAGGGCTCAGGTGATCCTCCTCTGTTTCAGCCTCCCGAGTGTCTGGAGTTACAGAGATAGCCTCACCATACCCGGCTTAGTCTTATATTCTAGAAACACTTGTACAGAGAAAGTCACAGTCCATTTGAAATATGTGTATACATACATACACATACATATTACATGCACACACACTCTTTGTCACTCACTGTTTTGAGACAGGATCTCATACTGTATAGTTCAGGCTGGTCTTGAACTTATAGCAATCCTCCTGCCTCAGTTGAGACGCATGGGTTAAACTACCATACCCAGCACCTAAGTGTACTTTTGAATACCAAAAATGAACCAAATACAAAAAAATAAAGGGAATTTATAGAAATTCATTTTTAACTATATAGTTATTCATAAGCCTTACTTTGAAGTCAGTAGTTTGGGCAGTAACAGCCTAGAACCCAAATTTAAGGGGAAAAAAATAACAAGAAGAGCGATTTTCTTTGGTCCTTATGTGCTAATCCAAATACATCCACAGGCTTATAACAGAACAGTTAAAGAGAAAGAACAAAATAGTACATTTGGCTCCTATAACACCAGATCAGATCTTAAAGATCTAGGATGGAGAACTGTGGTTACCAAGAGGCAAGAAGGGGTCATAGTATAAACATAGTATAATAGTAAGGAGTGAGAGAATTCATGTGTATCGATATAGTACTTCTGTTTTTATTACAGTGGAGTTATATCAACTCTTGTATGGGTAAAACTGCCTAGAATTACCAGTAAAAAGAAATATAGAGTTAAAAATGGTGAAAATCAAGATCTTTACTATAGTTAGTGTACTAAGGTAAATTCCCTGGTTTTGATATTTTAGTACAGTTCCATGAGATATCACAACTGGGGGAACTGGAAAAAGGGGTACCCTGAACTTTATTATTTTTCGACTTTTTGTGTGTCTACGATTATTTTAAAATACAAAGTTTTCAGTTAATGCACTTCCAGTCCTTTGTTAAAGCAACAACATCATCAATCTTATAAGCAAGAGGAGAGGGTAGGTTTGTCTTTTGGTGACAAAATTATCTTCTATAGATAATAAACAAGGAATGATTTCAGGACCTTTTGGTAGCCAGGCTTAAACTCAGCTCCAGTGGGCAATCCAAGGCCAGTGGAGTATACTAAATGTAAAATATATTACACAGATAAAACACCAGAACATTGAAATGTGCTCTACTTCTGTTACTTTGTTTTTCGAGACAGGGTTTCTCTGTGTAGCCTTGGAATATGTCCTGGAACTCGTTCTGTAGACTCAGAGATCCACCTGTTTCTGACTCCTGAGTGCTAGGATTAAAGGCGTGTGCCACCACCGCCCAGCTTCTGCTAACTTTTAAAGAAAGTAGTTGACTGGGGGCATAAAGACCAGAGTCTAAGTATTGGACCACGTGTCTCCCTCTCGGAGATCCTGGTAAGAAGGGAGATCACTTACCTTAGCAGAATGGGACACTGCACCAGCGCCTGTAGTATGTCTTCCACCTTTTTTGGGATATCTCCTTGTCCCTTGTGTAGCTGAGGTACACATGCCTGCGCCAACTCCCAGTCGCCCCTCCGCAGACACTCACAGAAAAATTCAAAAAGCTGCTCCTCGGTAGCGGTTTCCTCTTTTCCAAAAGGGTAACTCATTTTCCCAGCACAGAGTGCGGGGAGATAGAAAGAGAGTCGTTACGCCGAATGCATTCTCAATTTTCTCATTCGAGGGGTACCTCCTAGAAAAAAACACACCAGCTAAGAAACGAAACTGTTTAGATAAGCCACCAGCTACTAGCCCGAAAGGAAAAGGCAGAACTTACTTTTTTAAATATCGTTTTGGGTTTAACTTGACTTGTTACTATCTCCTTTTGACAACCGTCTCTTTCTCTAAGGGGTGGATCCTATCACCTAATGCACACCCCATACACAATAATATTTGTGTTAGCCTGGAGCGCAGGCACATAAATTTACTTCCGCTTTCTCTCCTGAACATTATGTCAGTCGGATTACAAATCTCTAGGTGGGTGCCTTGGTGAGGATAAGAACTCCTTTGGGTCCAGCCTTATGTTAAGGCAGAGGATTAAAGATCAGGAGATCAATCCGGGACCGAACCGGAGAGCCGGGAGGCTGGGGGACAGGGATGCTCCCCCTAGCGGGGTCGCGGACAGCACCCTTGCCGTCTTCCCTGAGATTTACACTCACCTGCTCCGGGAGTCAAATACATTTTAGCTTCCAGAGCAGCCATGTTTGAACCCAGTCAGGTGACAGATCCCATTGCAAAGAGTGGTGGAAGGGGTTGGGATGACGAATGAGAGCGCCACTCCTATTGGCTCAGTAGAAGGAAGATGCAAATCAAGTACCAGATTTATTTGAGTCACGTGACAGGCGCCTGATCGCTAGGGCGAAGCCACGGAAGAGTAAATCCGCTAGCCCCTGGGCTGAGGACCCTCACTAATTATGATCGCTCCTCCTCGCAACATCTTCAGTTATGCATTTTGGGGGAGTTGGCTCCAGGAATATCAGCTGTGTTCCACAGCCCCACTCCCATCACTGTCTCGGTGCTAACCAGGGACAGATGCTGGGGATGTCCACAGGAGTCCTGGATCCTCCTGCACCATCATTCTATCTACTTGCAATATATATTCATTTATACATAAATATCATACTTATACATTATAGTATATAATTATATATGATGCAGAAGACGGAGGTCGACACAGGACTTGCGCAACCCAAAGCAAAGAGTGAGCAAAGGCTTTTTCACAAATTCAGTAATCAAACCAGTACTTACAAGTTTGTTAGTTTTTCTTACCGCAGCTGCTTTACTATTAAACCTACTTGATTTCCTTTATTTCTTTTGCAACTACACTCAGTATTTTTCCCAATATATATTTTAGTTTGAGAAACTTCATTTAGCTTCATTTTCACCATCCAAGTGTGGTGAAAAGTGCAAAGCAAAACAAACACCAAACTCTCCAAAATTGTAATAGGCAGATAGCCCATACTTTCAACTCCTCAGTCCCTAAAAGACGCTTCTCAGGCCCAGGAAATAAGTAAAAATGCGATTTACTAAGGAAATGAATTCCCAGGTAAGGTTTTTCTTGCTTCACACTCGTTTTGAGAAGTTCCTCCCCTCGATTTTTGATAATTACCACAACGGAGAAATTTTATTGGATTAATCTACTAGGCTGAAAGTATGAACTACAATTCCCAGAATGCAGAGGGCCCAACCCAAGCTTTTGCCTACTTCTGATTGGATAATTCGCTAGCGTACCGGCCAACCAGCACTCTAGTTGTTGCTCTGCACGCTTTTCGCGGGTAATTGTGTGAGGGTGGGGGAAAGTTTGAAAGTTCGATGCTGCTGACCTGGTACTGGAGTTTTGTGAGGGGGGCAGTTGTGGGGAAGCGGGTGTGCTTATCTCGTACCTTCTCTCCGGGCCTGTGGATGTTGATACAGGGGTGGCGGAGAGTCCTGGGTGCCTGTCACACTCTCTGCTTCCCGTGGGGCTCGTCCCTGGAACCCCGGCTTGGGTCCTGGGGCTTCCGACTTTCTCTGGGCGGGTGATGCTTGGAAGCTGTGCTGTTTATTAGGGCATCCTGCATGAGGTTTTCTGCCCCTTCATGCCTCTCCCTCCGCTTCCGAGCAATTAGGGATCTGGGTACTTTTAAGGACCGTCATTCTTGCGTTGAAGAGCGTGGAATCTGGATTCCAATGCGGGTTCCAATCTTGGCTAGTTTGCACGTTTCTCAGTTTAGTGTTTTAGAGTAGTCTTATGTGTAAAATGAAGCAAAAACATTCGAAGCATTTAAAACTAGTATCTGGCGAGTATTAAAGGCCCAATAAATAAATGAATCCCCCAAACCCTACAAAAGGAAGGTTTAAGTCCCAAGTGTGGTGGTAGTACTGGAAAGCTAAGGACTGGCTGTCAAAGGCTTTGTGTGTGGAAATGGAAGGTATGTGCTTGAATAACCTAACTTAACCTTATGGATGGTCATGTTAGAAGAATCACATGTTTGTTTACGATGGTTACCTATCTTGAGCATTATATGTGCCAGCTCTGGAGTGGAAACTAGAATTGCTCTTACTTTACACACTAGGAAAGCAGTGCTCTGGGAAATGAAGTAACTTTGCCAGGAAAGCAAATCTGATTGAGCCTTGCAATCTAATATTTGAGTGAGAGCTAAGTAACAGACACCCTGTTCAATTTTTTTTTTAATTGTGATCCTAAAAGTTTGGAAGTTGTTGTATGAACTGATGGTCCCACGAAGCATTTTAAGCAATGAAACTGACTTTTAAGGAAGCTACTTCTAGTAGGATTGTGACATTCAGCCTATTTTTTTTTCTTTCAGGCCAATTTGAGACTTCTCCCTGTCTGCTCCTGCAGCAACTACAACCTTGCAAGCAGAATCAGCTTATGCTTGCATAGTTGTAGTTATTTGAGTGTGTATCTCTCCCATCTTTTAGTTGTAAGTATGAAAAAGAGAGGAAATGAGTTTAAGGGGTCTTACACCCTTGAGCTCAGCAGAGTATATACTTAAGAAATATTGGTGAAAGAAAAATGGAGAATATTATATATGAAGAGTTTATATTATATTTGGGGGAGTAGGGAAGTAACTCGAAGCCATAAGCAGTAGTGAGGGGTGTGGTACCATTAGATTAAAGTAGTTATTGCTAAGGTCTTTGTAATTTTGGGCTATAGGTGTTTTTTGTTTTTGTTGTTGATGGCTTGAACTTACTCATTAAGTGATGTTATTGCCTAGAACTACCTTATCTGAAATTCACTAGGTAATAGAATAGCAGATAAATGTTTCTTGGTAAGTTCTCTCTCTCTCTCTCTTTCTCTTTCTCTTTCTCTCTCTCTCTCTCTCTCTCTCTCTCTCTCTCTCTCTCTCTCCTGTTTTTGAGACAGGGTTTCTCTGTAGCTTTGGAGCCTGTCCTGAAACTTACTCTGTAGACCAGGCTGGTCTCAAGCTCACAGAGATCCAATTGCCTCTGCCTCCCAAGTGCTGGGATTAAAAGCATGAGCCACCACTGACCTGGTCTGCTAAATTTTCTCTTAAGGAAACAAATCAGCCTAGCAAATTCCCATTGACTGAAATAAAGGGACTGTGTTTTGTTTTTGTGGGGAGAGAGGGAAATAGGAGATGGGGGATTCAGGAAGAGAGCAAGGAGGGGAATTTAATGTAATTCAGAAAATTTAAGTGTTAAACAGAATTGGGCTATAGTGCTGGAAGTAGATATCTTAATTCTTGTATATAAATTTGTTCTTTGGTGTATAATTATTGTTATTACTTTATTCCATGGAATGATGAGTTCCTATTCTATTATTTCTGGAGGATACTTTGCTGTATCAATGAGATACACAGCCTCTTCTCTCCATGCATTAATACAGAGATTGTGACATTTTAACTCTCCAAAGACAAGTATTTCATGAGTGACACTTAGCAAGGTACAAGAAGAACAGAATTTAATTCTATATGGGATAGTAAGCAGCTAGTATAACAAAGAATACTTTCATTGCTAACACTTATAATAGTAAAGTCTCATTTGATTGAGATTAGTTCTGACTTAGAAAAAGCAAGGGTTAAATAAGATTTGTGGTCCTACAATGGCAGTGGTTAAGAGGATAGGTCTCAGTATCAAACTGCCTTGACGAAATTCTAAATCTGCTAGCATTTTTTTCTCAGGACAGTGGGATAGCTGACATTTCAGAGTACATTTCTCATATGTAAAAAAAAGAAAATCTGCTTTCATTATAATCTATTGCAAATATTAAATATAGCTTTGGAGCATGGTTGGTATGTAGCAGTGTCTATTTATTCTTGTTACAGTTCAATGTTGAGTTGCTATTTGAAAATGCATCTGGAAGATTATATAACCAAATGAAATTTGTAAATAATGATCAATATCTTAAGATTGTTATAAGTGATGGCTAGTCTTGGTAGTCACTTGACACTTGACATTCCTGAGAAGAGGGAACCTCAGTTGAGGAATTGCCTCCATCAGATGGCCTGTGGTCATTATCTCTGGGACATTGATTGTTAATTGATGGAAGAGGGCTCAACTGACTTGTGAGTGGTCCTATTCCTGAGCTAGAGTGCCTGGTGAGCAAGCAGGGGAATGAAGCCAGTGAGCAGCTTTCAACTGTGGTCTCAGCTTCTGTTGCTGTTTCAAGTTCTTGCCTTGAGTTCCTGCCTTGGCTTCCCTTAACAATGGGATATAATTTGTAAGCCAAATAAACCTTTTATTCCCAAGTTGCTTTTGGTCAGTCTTTTATCACAGCAACTAAAGGCAACCTAGACTACAGTGTAAATATGAAGTACTGTTAAAGTCATGTAGTATCAAAGCATTGTATGGATGCATTTTCTGAGGTTGCCTGGTCAATAAGCAAGTGTCTCTCCTACTTTTATTAGTATTTTTCCATGTTTTGTTTTGCATATAGAGAAAGTTTGAAAGACTTCATTTTATAGGATGCTTAATATAGTCTGTCCACTATCATTTTTATTACTTTCGGATTTTTTTTTTCCGAGATTCTTTGGGAGATCTGGAAACATGAGCAACAAGAAACTAAGACGAGTAGGTTTATCACAAGAGCTGTGTGACCGTTTGAGCAGACATCAGATTGTTAATTGTCAGGTAAAAATTTATGTATTTTTAGATAAATTTTATGTTCAAATTAATTTTAAGTTTACCTTAATAGCTGTTAAACATGGGTTATGAAGATTTAGGGTTGTAGGGGCTGGGGGAAAGGACGGAGTCAGTAAAGTGCTTGCCATGCAAGCATGAGGACCTGAGCTCAGATCCCCATCACTGTCATAAAAAGCCAGGCCTGGCAGTGTACATCTGAGCTCCCAGCTCCAGGGAGGCAGAGACGGGAGGAACCTTGGGGCTTGCCAGGTAGCCAGAGAAGCCACATTATGACCTCCAAGTCTGTCTCAGAGGTCAGATCTTAAAGAGTGACTAAAGGAGACATCCAATATTGACTTCTCACTTCCACATGCCTAGACAAAAATAAAAATAAAAACTTAGATGTACAAAAGTAAGTGAATTAATGGTGCTTCCTATATATAAATTGTTTAGGTTTCATTTCCAACTGGAATTTTATTTACTGAAGTCCAATATTTCTGTATTTTAGGATGAGAATTGTCATGGCATAAGGAAGTATGTCTGTGCCATTTATTTGGGGTTCCTGAGAAGTTTAATCCACTTAAATTTTTTTTATTATTACTTGAGAAACATGACTTAAAGGAGATTATAGTGAGGATGATTTGTTTTAGGAGAGACATTAGTAATTTAGGATTATTATTATCATTTACTAATGTTGAGCATTGACCCGAAGGTTTAAGTGTTCTACAACTGAGTTATACCCCAGTCCAGTAGCAAATTTTAGGGCTGGCTTGATAAATGTATACAACAGAAATTGCTTTTTTTTTTCTTTTTTAGATGCTACATCTTTAAGTCTAGTAATGAAGAAAATCCTTCTTAAGATGATAGATTAGGGCTAAAGTTTTATTTTAGGATTTTTGTGTTTAATAAGCATTTCACAACATATAATTTTGGGGATATCTTTGTTTTCTCTATTAATACATTTCATAATCATGTTTATATTTTAACTGGTTTAAAAGGTATGAATTAAACATTTTATCCTGTATTCTGAATTAAGCTGTAAACATCCCCATTTGATAAATACTTTTCTCTGAGTTAACTTTTAGTCTAGAAAACAAGCACTTTTTAACCTGATTCTTTTTGGGCATGTATTTGGACCCAGACTCAAGTGCAGTGCTCATATAAACTTGGACTGGGTGGTACTGCTTGGTGTATATTCTGAGACATGCCAGGTGTACTGTGTAGTAGAGTATAAAACTGCCTCACATCTTGGAGTTAAGGTTTATGTAGGGTGAAGCTCAGTGGTAGAATGTAAAAGAGGCAAAAAACTTCTATCTGCAATACATTTCACTTCCATCTAGAGACAACAGTGACAACTGAAAGTTTCTTTTTGTTTTATATTTGCTTATCTTTTAAAAGAGTCCATGATGAAAATTTAATTCTTATATCTTTGTTACGTATGTATGTTAAATATTTATTTTTACTCTTTTTCTTTTTAGGACTTTTTAGGTCTTTCCCCACTGGAACTTATGAAAGTGACTGGCCTGAGTTATGGAGGTGTCCAGGAGCTTCTGTATATGGTCAGCAGGGCCTGTGCCCCACAGATGCAAACAGTACGTGTAACTTAACAAGGGGCATTACCCCATTTGGAGGTCAAGACAGCTCCCCCGTGTGCTTTAGCTGAAATGTGAAGGGTGAATAGGGGGCCAGGCAAAGACATTGAGGATGGAGGTGGGGCAGGGAAATGTCTGACCATTGGGATAGCAGATGCACAGGCTCTGTGAAAAGGATGCTTGTTCAGCGATTAGCTTAGGCCATGCCAGTGGAACACAGTGAAGAAGAGAGTTGAAAAGATGCAGCCAGTGAGAGAAGCAGGAGGCAGCATGGGGTCTTGTAGACCATGCTAAGGATTTTGGACATTATTTTAAAAGTAGTAAATCATAAAAGGGGACAACTGATGCGTTTGAAGAAGATAGGTCTTGAGTGCACATTGCAAACAAGCAAGAAAATATTCAGAGTCTACTGAAATATCTGTTACTGTGTTCTGGAAATAGTAATGGGTTACTAGTGTGGTATTGTAGCAGAAGCTGGAGTACTAATCCCTATGAGAACAGTTTAGGAGGGAGAATTATTAAAAAAAAAAAAAGGCTTAATCTCACTGATGAGAGACTTAAAATGAAAGAGTAAAACCTAGAAGAAAGGAAAGAAAGAAGGAAAGAGATGGTTCCTGATGCTTAGTCCTCCAATATAACACCAGTTCACCTCTTCCTGGTTGCCACCACTCATGACAACTTGGATTTAATATAATCATAGGTGACATCTCTACATGCCATGCAGACTCTTTGAATATCTAATTGTATAATGGCTAACATCGAGAAGCTGGGATTGATATATCAAGTGCCTCTAAAGGTCACAATTTGGACTGTTTGTTGCCTTGTACACAAAAGAACCTTTGTAGATAATGGTTTAGTATAGAGAATAACTTGGTCCAGGTGTTTCACTGTGGCCATGGCTGCCATGGCCTTAAAGTGATGAATCTGGTGGCTCCTTGCAGTTCTTGTCAGTATGTTAGATGTATAAAGCCGCTTGGTTTAATTCTTGCCAGGTCAAGCTCCTCTGCTTCCCTAGACTGTCTTTCTCTGTTGCCAGTTTGTGCAGCTTGCTGGAGCATGAGCTCACTCCGTTTACTCTTTTGTTCTGTTATGAACTGAGAGTATGCTTAAATTCATTTCTGATGGTGTTTTGAAAATTAAAAAAAAGTCATGTTAAAAGCCCTTCAAATTTGTTGTGCACTGTTCCTGAGTACTCTGTTTTTTCTATCCCCACTTCTGTTTCTCTCTCCGAGCTACCATTTTCATCCTTTGAAATGGTTGTAATAGCTTCCAGTGTTATCCGTCTTTAAGCATTCTTCTAAGCTAGCAGTTCTCAACCTTCCTAATGATGTGACTCTGTAATACAGTTATTCATGTTGTGGGGACCTCCCAACCACAAAACTATTTTTGTTGATACTTCATAACTGTAATTTTGCAACTTTTTGAGTTGTAATATAAATATCTGTGTTTCCCGATGGTCTTAGAGAAGTTGTGACACACAGGTTGAGAACCTCTGTTCTAAGACAACCTTAGTATCTCCTCAGAAAGATAATTTGTGGGGTTGGAGAGATGACTCAGCCATTATGGACACTGGTTGCTCTTCCAGAGCACTCAGGTTTAGTTCCTAGTACCTATATGACTCCTCATACCATACTCCAGTCCCAGAGGATCCAATACCTTCTTCTGGCTTCTTCAGTCACCAAGTGTGCATATGGTACACAGATATGCGTGCAGGCAAAACACCCATATACACAAAATAAAAATTAAACAAAAATATGATAATTTGTTATATTTACCATAATGGGTGGATTTAAAGAAGAAAAAGTTGCCTCACAGTCTGGCTCAGGTGCAGCCGCACCCTCTCCAGAGTATCTAGGGGAGAATCCCTTCTTCAGCTCTTCCAGTTGCTGAAGAATGTTGGCATTCCTTGGCTTGTGACCACTTTCCCCTCTGCTCCGTCTTCACATCATTGTTTTATTGAAGCTGTCTTTGCCTGTCTTAGGAGAATACTTTTGTTGGCATTTGTGGTCCACACACATAATACAGGATTATCTCCTCATCACAAGGTCTTTACATCTGCAGAGACCTTTCTTCAAATTCACAGACAGGCTCCAGGGATTGGGTGTGGACATCTTTTAGGGGCCATTTCTCATCCATGTCTCCAGCCTCCTTCAAACTGTGCTTCATACATTGAGCTGAGTTTGAAATGATTACAAGGCCATGTTGCCTCTGTCCCAGAGCTCCTGGTGTGAAGCTCCTGTTTGCTTCTCCAGGCTTGTCACGTGCTGCTCTGCTGTCACATTCTATCTTTCAGTCATCCTATAAGTAAACTCTGTTTAATTATTTATGATTTGCAGTTTCCAATAACTCACACTTCTTCTTCCTGCTTCTTGGTCTTTCTGTGTGCATCCTCACCTCTTTGGTAGGAATGTTCACATCCCTTTTGCTTATGCAACTATGGATTCAGAGTTTTGCACAGACACCTAGCTCTTCAGTGAAGCCCTCTAGACCACCATGTCTGACTAGCTTGTAAGTCTCTGTCTCTTGTTAACAACGTTGTAGTCACCCGGTGTTCCAATTCCATAGTCCTTGTTTTGCAATAAGCCTGTGAGCATGGTTTGTTACAGTCCATCCGTAAAATTTAGCATGGTCATTGGCACTAGGTAAATATTCACACTAGTCAAATGAATAATAGAGGAAAGAAGGCTGAATTAAGGTTACAGAGTTGGTTTGTAACAGCTGAATGGAACTTAATGACTTTCTTGTTCAGGCCTATGATATAAAGATGCGGAGGTCTGCTGAACTCTCCCCAGCGTTCCTGTCTACTACCCTTTCTGCTTTGGACAAAGCCCTGCATGGTGGTGTGGCTTGTGGATCGCTCACAGAGGTAGAGGAAACCCAGACCTTCTTCTATAAGTATTAGAGCCATGAGAAATGTTTAGTTAAAAACAACAACAACAACCTAAATTACCTCATGAAAATGAATGTGAATTAAGTCCCAAGTACTGTGCTGGTGTATTCCTCTAGCCAGTATCAGTATAGCTGCTTTATAAATGGAGGCATTAAACAAATCCTTGCTGACTGACTAGATGTGTCCCGGTTTTTGTTCCTTTGAATTGCTTTAGAAAGTGATATGTACTGGGGTCTGAGGAGGTGGTTGAGTGGGCAGAGTCCTTATGCTTGCCTTACAGTTACGAGGGCCTGAGTTTAGATCAACAGTAACCAGGTAGAAGCCAGGTGTAGGGTGTGTATCTGTAATGCCTTCGAGGTGGAGAGGAGCTGAGTGTCTCAAACCACAAGATGCAGAGGAGAGGAGGAAGACATCAAGTGTTGATCTCAAGCCTCAATCACATGCTCACCCACCTGCACATGTACACACATGCATGAATACACACATATGCATGCAACCACAATATTTTGAAACAGTATTAGGAAGCAATTTGAGTGGATTAAAAAAAAAGAATCACTACTTGGTAGATTTCCAGTACAAGTCAATTTTGATAATATTTGAGCGAATGATATATTAAACTATAGTGAGCTATTTTTGTTTCCTGCTATTGATAGCATTTGATTCTAGGAAGCAATAACTTCCTGTATTATATTATGTTGTAAAATGAATTATCCTCATGTTAAGTGGCTGAAAGCAACAATATACACTGACTTCACAGTGTCTTTGGGAGTGTCTGAGCTTAGTGAAGTTGGCAGTCAGCCATAGCTCAAGATGCCCAGAGGAGCTGACTCCTAGGGGCTCATTGGCAGGCTGGTGCTGTTTTTTTTGTTTGTTTGTTTTTTGGCAATTCTTCCCTAAGTGGGGTCTTCACAGTTTTCCCGTATCTTCTCAGGACTTGCTGGCTGACTTCACTCAGGATGGGTTGTTCAAAACATAGCAAGATGGAAGTGGTGGTGTTCCTGGTGATTACTCCATTGCTTATGACAGGTTCTCTTCATTGTAAGGGAGCTGTAAGCCCAACTCAGGGTCAGAGAAAGGAAATTTAGGCTTTGCCTTTTGAATGAAGTTTCAAGAAGCTGAGGGCATGTCAGGAGCACTGAGGCTCTTTCCTTGAAAGCTGCATTGGTGTGTATGGGTGTGGCTGTATCTGTAGGCTGCTTATCAGTAAACCCTGAGAATTTTTTGCCTGAAAATTTTAAAAGCAAATTTCTAAGAGCAGACACATTGTATGTGACTCTGTGTGTGTGTGTGTGTGTGTGTGTGTGTGTGTGTGTATGTTCCTAGGTATCAAACCCAGGGTCTCAAGCATATTATTCAATGTCTGGCTCACTGAGCTACATCCCCAGTATTTTCTTATAGTTCTCACAATCATAATTTAACTGTAATATTTTTCTTAAAGACAGGAATCCTGTTTTAGGGAATATTTTATTTCCTATATTCCTAGAAAGGTTTAAAGACTGGTGTGTCTGGTAGATGCCTATTAATAAATAGTTGATGACCGAATAAGCTAATTGAAAGGCTTGTTTTCATATATTGCCACCAGATGGTGCCAGAATTACACTTTACACACAGTCATTTTGAGGTAAGGCTGGACCAGATCAATTTAGGATTATAATACTACTGATGGACTTATAAATTCATTTATACAGAAAAAAATGACTCTAATTAACCAATGCATGTGTTTCATGTTTGAGTTTTATGGTGATTTTCCCCCCACTTTGTTACTTTCACTTTGCATATCAATTCTGTTTGAACTCCAGTGAAGTTATAGCCATTTGAGTGTTTTGTTATGATCCATCTAGCCGGCTTATAATGCTGATTAGTAACACATTCTTTACTTTCTGCCCTCCTGTAGGTCATTTCTAAAATCTTCTGGGGGATTACAGTTGAATTCAGGGAATAGCTTCCTGCATCCTGAACTTGTACCATTCACTGTAGTTTTCTTTTACTTTATAGTTACATAGGAGGTATACAGTTTTTGTTTTGCTTATTTTCTAGCTGTAAGAGCCATATATTTGTGATTAAGTCATATCTCTTGTCTCCTTTATGAATTGATTTTCTCATTTAAAGTATTTCTAAGATTTTTTTTTCATGTTGCTTCAGGTAGCAAGAACATATTTTTTTTTTTTTTTTTTTTTTTGGTTTTTTTGAGACAGGGTTTCTCTGTGGCTTTGGAGGCTGTCCTGGCACTCGCTCTGGAGACCAGGCTGGTCTCAAACTTATAGAGATCCGCCTGCCTCTGCCTCCGAGTGCTGGATTAAAGGCGTGCACTACTACCGCCCGGCCAAGAACATAATTTTTATTGCTGTATATTTCATTTTGCAAATATGCCACAATTTACATCTTTTGTTATTAGTGAACATTTGGATTGCTTCTCATTTGCTGCTGATATGAGTAAGTCCTGTGAAAACGTTTGTACCTGGCTGTTGGTTAACATAGGAAAGTTTTTCTCTGGGGCAGGGATTGGAGAACCACTGTCCAGCAGTTAAATTCAGCTCACTGCCTGTTGGTGTAAGTAAAGTTTTATGGACAAGCTCATTTGTTTACTTTTTGTGTGTGGTTGTCTTGTGACATAAGGGCAGAGTTTAATTAGTTGTGACAGAGACCATATGGTATGCAATGCCTGAAGGATTTTTCTGTGTGGCCATTGCCTCGAGTGTCTGCCTTGCGTGCTTTGGTGGTTGCAGTGGATGCACGTGGGTAACCTCACACACTTAGGACCAGTGTCCTCCAGAGTGCTGTGCTGGCTCATGCTCCTTCCAACCAAGCACACAAACGCTCCCTGGCTTATATCATCCTTCCTTGGTATAGTCAGAATTCTGTCCAAACTTAGGATCTTAGTTCTATTTTTCCTAACTACTAATGATTTTTTAGATGTCATCTGGACACTTTAATAACAACTTTATTCAGGTGTAATCTAGATACCCAGAATCCAAGCATTGTACATGTCTGGCTGTCCAGTCAGCCCTGCAGTCACATTCAGGAGACTTACATCGTCTTTGTTCTACTTGCGGTAAATCCTTGCTTCCATCCTAAACCCAGGCAAACACTGACACATATAAGGAACTGGTTCTTTTTAATCATTAATATTAAACAAAATATAATATAGTATATTTTGTTTACTATTCATTAGTTGATAGGTATTGGATATTTTCCAGTTTTCATCTATCATAGTATTTATGGGTGTGTTTGTGTGAAATAGGTTTTGTTAGTCTTGAGTAAATACTCACCAAAGAGTGAATGGAAAGACTGGAATCATGTAATATACTTGGCTCTTTAAGAATCTGTCAGACTGGTTTCCAAGGTGACTGTAGCATTCTTCATCCGCACTAGAATGTACAGTGATTTTTTTTTTTGATGTTTGAACCTAGGCTCTCACACATGCTAAGTACATAGTCTGCCATACATCTATGTTAGTGTGCACCAGTGCCTGTTTGTGTTTTACTTTAGTTTCTCTAATGAATATGGTTTATTTTGTGGTCTTGTTTTTTTTTTTTTTTTTTCGAGACAGTGTTTCTCTGTGTAGTTTTGGAGCCTATCCTGGCACTCGCTCTGGAGACCAGGCTGGCCTCGAACTCACAGAGATCCACCTGCCTCTGCCTCCCTAGTGCTGGGATTAAAGGCGTGCGCCACCAACGCCCGGCGACTGGTCTTGTTTTTTATTTCTCCAGTGTGTCCATCTTTTGTCTGCTTGTCTCTTTCATTGCAGGGTCTGACTGTGTAGCTCAGGCTGGCTTTGCATTTGTGATCATTTTGCTTCCTAGGTATACTGTGGCTACTTAATAAATGCCCACTGAATGAAGGCATTTGGTTTTCTTTCTTACGCCTTTGTTTTCTTTCTATATGTGTCTGTGGATGTTTTGTAATTGGCTATGTGGACAAGGCTGGCCTTGAATGCTGAGACCTGCCTGCCTCTGTTTCCTGAGTGCTGGGACTAAAGATGTATGCCACTATGCCTGGCTTCTTTCTTTATTTTTAATACTTGTCTAGTTCTAGTTTACTTTGATGCTGTGGTTCCTGTTGCCTGTCCTCCTCCTTTGATCTTGTAATTAGCAAAGGTTTAAGAATTTTTTTATTTTAAAGATTTTATTCTTTTATTACTTTAAAGGTGTGTGTGTGTGTGTGTGTGTGTGTGTGTGTTTGTGTGTGTGTTTGTGTGTTTGTGTATTTGTATGTGTATGTGTATGTAGGTAGGAATATACACATCAGTGTAGGTACTTTCAGAGGCTGGAGGTGTTCGATCCTGTGGAGCTGGAGTTAGAGGAGGTTGTGTGTGCCAGGAATTAACTTGGGTCCTTGTAAGAGCAGTATGTGCTCTTTACTGCTAATCCATTTTTCCAGCCCAGCTTTATAAGATTTTTAATATTATTATAATTCCAGAGTATAGTAGTTAATTTAAAATATTCATTTATGTACATTTAATATTAATTTATGTAAATTTGCTTAAAATTATCAAAATAGCGCACTTAAATTTTATTAATGAACATTTAATGGAGTCTTTTAGGAGTTTTTTCCTTTCGTGTCTTTAAAGTTGTATATTTCTTAAATCTGTATCTTTCTGTTGGACATCACTTAACCAATCATTCCAAAGTTTAATGGCTAAAACAATATTTATTTTCTCATACAGATTCTTTGTGTCAGGAATTTGAGGGCAGCTTAGTTGGATGGTTCTGGTTCAGATCTTCTGTGAGATTATAGTCAGAGTATTGGCTGAGGCTCACCTTTCCTGAAAAGTTGCCTGGACCTGGGGGAACTGCCTCCTAGGTGGCTCACTGACATGACTGGGGAGTTGTTTGCTGTGTGAATCTCTCCACAGGACCATTTGAGTGTCTTCATGCTATGATAGCTGACTTCTAAGGGAACAAGGTAGAAATGGCAGTCTTAGAAGTTATGTGCCATCATTTCTGATATATCAGAATATGTATGTATGTATGTAT